AAAAAAGGAAACAAATGCCGTGAAAAAGAAAACAAATGAAAAGAGAAAAACCCGAAAGTCTTCAGAGGGGCCCATGCGCTAGCGTACTTTGCGCCAATCCAAATTCCGAGCAAGACTGAGGCGAGACGAGATTTTAATTCAAAATGGCGGCGGCGAGACGGCGGTAGTTTTGTTGTGATCGAAGATGAGCATAAAGAATAATTTTTTTATTTTCACCATCGTATTTAAAAAATGGAATCTAAAAGAGCAGCTGAGCAGTCTTTTCTACGACCACCCTTTCCAGTTGATTTGGTTGAAACTGGTTTGCGCCAGAAAAAGAGTTTGTTATGCGTAGCGAAAGCAAAAAGTAAGTTTTTCATTGCTGTCAAACTTGTTGAAGAAGTTAAAAGACGAAGCTCTCCAGGGAAAACAGCTCTTGTTTTATCAGAAAATATCGAAGGTCAGTGTCTGTAAAAGCTCTAGATGAACTTGATATAATTTGTAAATTTTTAATTTTAGTGGATTTAGCGCTATATAAATAAATATTATTATTATATTATTATTATTATTATTATTTTAATTTTTTTATATAATGTTCAACTATTTGCTTGATTTGTTATGCTATTGAAGAAAATCGAGTGTATAAAATACTGTAAGTATTTTAAAAATACCGTAAAATGCTCTGAAATACCTAGAAAAGTTCATGAAGATCACGTTTTTAGGGATATTTGAAGCTATTATTTTTCAAAATTAGGTTTTTGATATTTTCTTTATTACTATCTGATACAAAGGTAGTGTTTGTGTGGTAATGGTCATCCTGTGGAATTGATAATATTCATTCATTCATTCATTCTTTTGTTTGTTCATTCGTTCATTCATTCATTCAATTTATTTATTTATTTACACCCCTATGAAACTGAAAATATTTATTTCTTTGTACCTTAGTTTGCAATTAGGCACAAACATCCAACATCAAAACATGTTCTAAACTGTCTTCTGACACTCATATGTTTGTGCCCTAAAGCATCAATGTTTGTCAATATCAAACGAGACTGCCTTTTACATTCACATGATGATGATTTGAAGTCTGGCGTTTGAACCTAGTATTTAAATTCAACATGCAGTTTGTGTTTCTTCAAGCGTATCTTTCTTGGAAAAAATTTCAGGCAGGATTGAACCTTTGATATTCTGTTTACTAGTCAGATACTCTAACCACTCAGGTACTGGAACTCATAGTGTTTAGAGCATCTGACTAGCAAACAGAAGGTCAGGTTTAAATCCCACCTGAATCCCCATTTTTTTTCCAAGAAAAATATCTTTAATGATTAATACAAGTCACAAAAACACTTTAATAGTATTTATATTCTTTTTCATCTTATTTTTAACAGGCGATTTTGTTAAAGAATTCTCCAGAGCAGTGGATTTACAGACTGATCTCAAAAGAATAAGCTTAGAAGATGTCAGAAACAAAACAGCTTCAGATAGTCTTGATGCTAATGTACTTGTAACCACTATACAAGGCACTGTTGACCTCTTTGAGTCAAATATATTGTCTGTAGAAAAAGTAAATTTGGTCATCATAGATGACTGTCTTATAGAAAATGACGTAGTCATCTTTGATCGTGATGAGGTCTATTTTTATCTTCCACCTTTTCTCAGTGTTATTGAACTTCTAACATCACATGAACAAATGCCGCAGCCAATCATAATTGGTCTTTTGTCAGATCTCCCTGTCTCTTCTCCTGAAAAGATTGAGTCCATGCTACCAGCAACAGAATTGGCCTTTGGGTGCTCTTTTTCAGTATCAAGTGATTTGGTAGCTATGAACAGATTTGGAGAACAACCTCAAGAAAAACTCATAAAGTGCTCTGTTCTAGCCGATGAAGCTGAAAAAGTTAAACAAATATTCACTATCGTAATGTCTACACTTAGTAACTTTTTACTAATACATGAAGAGAGCCAGCTAGTGAGAATAAGGCGGCAGTGTGTACTTTGTTATAAGATCCTTGGACACTTTGGTTGCTACGCCGCCATATATCATGCAAGATTAATCATGAGAGAAATCTCAAAGCTGAAAAAAAAAGTCAGTGAGTTAGAAAAGCCACATCTTTTACGCTGTGAGACCCAACTACAATCACTGTTGCAGTATAGCAAGAAGGATGAAATACCTGATATCACTCCCCTGGTGAAAAATATTCTTACAAGTTTGTCATATTTGAAACCTAAGTCTACTTCAGGCTCAAAAACAACCTATTTGTCAACTAGTAATGAAAATGATGACACTGCATCATCTTTTAAGGTTGCAAGTAACACTAATGAAGGTCGCCATGGTGATAATCCAGTCAGTATAATTTTGTGCTTTTTAGATCAAGAAGCCATGGTATTGAACCTCCTGTTAAATACGCTGGCAAAAACCAATCCCGAAATGGCTTTCCTTCGCAGTCGACATATCTCAAGTGCAATGATCAAACCGAATGACATGAGTACAGACWTCGACACAGATGAAAGAATCAATGAAGACATCATAAGACTTATTTGTGATGGACAAGTTAACATTGTGGTCACTAGTCCAGATATGGAGAATGATATTTATCTTGGACAGTGTAAACAAGTGATAAGGATTGGCATTCCTCAAGACTATCTGTCGTATGTTAGAGTCAAAAATATACCAAGGATGGCTCATGCTCAATTCATTATTCTTGAATCAGAAGACAAGGATAATGGGAATAGTATGCTGCGATACAATGTAGGTTACTAGAATGTCATTATAAACACATTTTCTATAATTAATTTTTGTTTGTATTTGATAAACATTTTATAATTTGATCTAGAAGGAGCCAGGATGTAAAGTACTCTGTATAAATCTAGTTATCCTATCAAAATTTTTTTTTTTTTTTTTGAATAAGCTTTTCATCCTTTCACTCCTAAGGCTTTTAAACAGACAGAAGGTATCTTGACAACAAGATGTTCATCACATCAAACTGTCCCTAAGCCTGATGTATTGTCATTAGATCTAGCTGACTGTTCACTGAATGGAGAAGACAGGCCCTGTATTGATGCTAATGATGCTATTGCACTTATTAACAGGTAAGGGGGGGGGAGTCTCTAATGAAAGTTGAAACAGAATATTTGACGAAGTGTACAGTTAACAAAGATTTCTCCTTGTATGACGAAGATATATTATGTAGTTCCAGAAAATATTCATACGTCTCCTCTGGAGAGATATTGGGATTTCCAAGGGGTGGGGAGGGTGTGAAGAGGGTATATTGTACTGTTTTTWAAATTTGAATATCCAAGGGGTGGGGAGGGTGTGAAGAGGGTATATTGTGCTGTTTTTAAATTTTGAATTTCCAAGGGGTGGTGGGGAGGGTGTGAAGAGGGTATATTGTACTGTTTTTAAATGTTGAATTTCCAAGGGGTGGGGAGTGTGTGAAGAGGGTATATTGCACTGTTTTTAAAATTTGAATTTCCAAGGGGTGGGGAGGGTGTGAAGAGGGTGTATTGTACTGTTTTTAAAATTTGAATTTCCAAGGGGTGGGGAG